AACGAAAGAAATTGGTCTCTTAGGTCTTCCTGGACCATTCTGGATTCAGAAGTTTCCATTTCAGTGGCATTCTCAGCCAGAATTCCTGTATCAAGCAATAATACTGACGCAAATTTCTAAGTACAAGAGTACCACTCATTTGTCTACACTAGTATACTCCTAATCTGACTGTATGTAAATTTCCTCTTTTTCAGAAGACATCTAACAGTAATGCATACAATTAATTGTACAACACATTTTAATTTAACATGAACTGGACAATATTGCCTAGTGTGCACAGTCCAGCCACTCCAAGTACAACTTCCAATTATTACATGAGAACTAAGACTTTATGACATCTCCTACAAATGCTAATTAGCTGGTAGGTTAGAGCCCTCAGTCATGTAGCACTTCATCAATCACAAGGCTTAAACTATTAAAGTTGGAAACTGCAATATTTTACATGAAAAGTTATGTTGCAAGTCAAAGTAGAATATTATATTAGCCCCCTTTATGTGGTGTTCTTTTATAATAGTCCCCACAAAAGAATTTCCACAAGCTGTTGTCCTAATATGATCCAGGTCTACATCCTCCACCCTGTTCTTGTCTCAACAGCTACTGTTTTCAACACCGAGACTCATACTTCAGAGTATATGATTGTTTTTAAAATATCTGCAGATTCCTAGAGGACAAAACATACCAGGTATAGCCACTGTACGAAAGAGAAAAGTTGGGAGCAAAAAGGAACATGAAAGAATCATCATCCAGTTCAGCACTTCTGCCCTTCAGCCATATTCATAGAACTCCCATGTTCTGGTAAGAAATACATAAAGATTTCTGAGGTCTGCCCCTCTGCATGCTAAACTGACAGATATGAGGTGTAAGACTAGCTTTGCCAGGTTAAACAAGGCTATTAAAACAGCATACCCAACTTTACTGGCACTAAAATGGAACAGTGGTGCCAAAGATTCTAAAAGAAAGAAATATTAAGTAATATTGCACCTCTGACATTGACATAAGTATATTATTACTCCATGCCAATCTACCTTGATCCAAATCCTCTTAACGCACGCTGTTCCAGTGCTGGGCCTCTCTTAAGCCTGCAAATTACACTGAATAGTGTAGCCGTTTTTCAGTTTGGTCAAAAATTACACCAAAACCACTGCATGGAAAGACAATGCATCATTAGTTTGTTATCTATCTCATTACTTTTTTCTGCAACACGTTGCCTCATATGTATTCCTCTGCCGTCCTGTGGGACTCACCACAGCTCTTTTGTTGCCAATGTTTTTGTTTCTTCCACACCTTTGGTAGGGAGCCCTCAACAGAAACTCTCTTGTCCTTCAAGTATAACAGCTATACAGAAAGAAGAAGAAACAATTCCAACTTTCCTGGTTTTGGATTGTCTCCTTCATATTTTTCAACATGGCAGATAATAGTAATGTACACAGGAGAAATTTAGAATTAGAAATTGTGTCTTTCCAAGTTACGTATTCCCTCCTACTCAGTTCAGGTTATTACTGACAGAAATATTTTTGAGCAAAATATACAAATTCTTCCTTCTTCAATTACTTGAATACAACCATTAAAACAAATATTATTTTAGGCTGAGTGAAGCACTTCAGACTGAGTGAAGAAAGATGTAGCCATCTATCTTGCATCATCAAATGAAGCACTAAAATAACTGGTCATTCACAAGTTCTCATATCAAAACATAATAAAAATACACAGATATAAAATTTGGCCCTGCATAGAAAAAAGCAAATGGAGACAAGCATTATAATCTTACAGTCAGAAGAATCTAATGTCTAGAGAGAACTTAGGAAGAACTAGAAGCGACTCCTTCACTTTCAGGTGCGTTTTCATGACAGCAAGACGGCAAGCAGGGCGCTTATCCTGAAAGAAGATATGTAAAGGCAGGACAATCCACTAGAGGGCCCAGTAATTGTTTCATCTACTAAGTGTGATACGAAACGGTCCATGTTGCTTTTCACCCACTGAATTCCCACATACATGTGCACGATGAGGTCAAATTAATTTCTAAATGCTCAACATACGAATATCTGGCTGTCGTCGCTTGACGTGAAAACAACAGTGGAAGAAGTGGACAAAAGGTCATTTTTTTTTGCACATGCAATCCAGGAAAGGCTAAAAGCATAATCAGATTCAAGTAAAGGATAAAATTACTGCAATCTATATGTATTAAATACTTTTCCATCAAAATTCATTCTCATAGATGGTCGCTATTGGAAAGGTATGTTGTCAAAACTGGAAAGAAAAGAGGTACATCAGACAATCTTTTTCTTAAAGCACAGCATCCACTACCAGAGTATCTGGAAATCCCTGAAAAGTGACTGTTCAAAGATATTACAATAAGAATACTACAGCACACTATGCATACTATGCATAGTCCAACATGCTTCTGAAATAACTCATGACTGAATGAACAATCTGTCTATGGTCAAAAAGGAGCTGTGCTCCTTTTGACAGAACATAAATACGCTATGAGTTATGAATGTCCTGGGACACGTAACTTCATGCAGTGAGGATAAAATTATCTAGAACAGAAAGGCACTAATGCCAGGAAAGCTTCTTGGAAAAAAAAAAAAGTAGACAGACACTGAACATCTTCCTTTCTACATGCAAGTATTGTGGTCCAGAAATGAGGCTAAGGAGGCTGGGATGCTCAAGGAGGCTCAACATGAGAAGTCATGATCTAATAAGCACTACCAAAATGAAGTTGAACACTTGGATTAACTAGACAAGTAGATTATTTTTTTTTCCAGGTTAATTTATAAGCCTGGATTTCCACTGGTGACATAAAGAATTTTCTACTTCAGAATTGTACGCTAAACATATAAAAAGTAAACAGTGAAAGGATCATTTATAGTATCATACTCTACGATTTATTTAAATAACAGGGGTGAGCAGAGCAGGATGATATTTCGATCAAGTTTTTCTCTAGTCAAGTTATCTGTGAATGAATTGATCTTCAAACACATTGGAAGCAAGGCACAAGTAAAATAATGACCCAAAGCTGAAAATGTGACCTAAGGGTAATTTTAAAAATGTATTTTCCAAATATTATATTCCTTTCCTATTAAAAAATAACGGTGTAATGGTGATCTGATATTACCATTTTGGGGCATGCTAAAATCTATATATTAAGATCATGGGGTTATTAAAAATGCTTCAGAGAAGCAAATCTATGCATAACTTTTAAGTGATGTAAATGATTTATATTTTTTTAAAGTAATCATCATAATTCATTTTTCTCTAAGTGAACCAAGTATTAGCCCATAGCAGAAAAACTGAACTTCAGAAGTCCCCTGATGAAGCAAATTTACCAGAATAAAAACCTCAAAAAAAAATATCAGGTGCTATTTCCAGTTTTAAAGAATCAGTTTAGTACTAAATTTGATTTTGCACCCAGCGGTTAGCAGGATTTATTTATCACATTGTATACTAGAGCTCACGAGGCTATAACGTGTTTACTCTATGATTAAGTGAAGAGAGAGAGTGTGCAGTTTGAGAGTGACTATTTTCATTAAGCAGCAGGTGCAAAAGAGGCAAAACCATCTGCAAGCTCTAATAAAATAGCCGTGATGTATTAAAACCAGAAAAACCCACTACATTGCATATTTCTGAAAACATAGCCATGACAGATAGTGCTGACAGCTCTGTGATAAGTCATATTCATCACACAATTTTGATCACTGAATCCACATTCCTCCCTCCTACTGATCCATTTCCTCAAGATCTAAATACAAGACCAACTGCAAATCATCGGTTTGTTTGGGGGTTTTTTAGAATACAAGCTAAAAGAAAAGATGCATTCTTTTCTTCAAAATTCCCAAGTGATGTCCAAAGCTAATTAGCATTCAGCACAGGATAAAAGGCTTGAAGTTTACTATCTTTACATCATCAGCATTTCTAACAAAGCAAATATTCAGAAATAAGATTAAAGGGGATGAGTACATATGCTCCAGATTTGATAGGCCTTATTTCCTGGGCCTGAAAAAGCAGTCTTCTCCATTTCTGGAAAATAAGGACTTGGCTTTCTAAAGACTGTATTTAACCAATTGCAGACAGAAGCACGGTTAGACCATGTGAACCCTATATGAATCCTGGAGGAAAACCACAGTAACATGAACTACTTATGCAATAATAGAGAGTAAAGAGTAGACATTCTTTGACTGGCTGTAAAAGGAGGGGAGAAGTAATAGTAAAATGTATTTCATGCCAGGAACTTTTTCTCCATTTATCTGTATGCTCACAAGTGTATTTATATATGATAAAAAGTGATACACACAGAACATACCTGCTAGCATAAATATTTTTGTGAGTGTGAGAAAAAGGATACGGTAAATAAACACTCTACTACTGTACGCAAAACCCTTGCAGAGCTGCCTTTCCAGGAAATTCCCTCCCCCAACTGGAAACTATAATGATTAAATCCAACTTCCCAAAGAGAATAAATGCAGTTAGCTAAATTTGTGGAAAATTAGAAACAAGACTAATAGGGCTGTGCAGAGACAGCCTCCCTTCTTCATGTCTTTAGCTCACAGGAAAAACACATAATTGACTTGATTTAGGTTCCTTCCCAACTCCTCTCTTCCCTCCCCCAAAAAAGTCTTTAAAGGAAAAAAAGCAGTATCCTAATCTTTTAACAGTCCCGCTCGTTTTATTACATTATTTGGAAAGAGTAACAATCAGTGTTAGTAAGGATAACAGAATCCCTCATGTTGAGGAATAATAAGACGACTTTCATTTAACTCCAATGCTTTTGTGGAAATTGCAGTACCTTATATTTTTGTGAAAAAATATAATTAAGAAATTATACTATAAAAATGATCCCATGGAAAATAGTAACACATATTTTATATTAGAGAACTACTTGACTATTACAGATTTATTCCTTGCATTTTTTAATATATTAAAAGTAATACATTGTAAGAAATATATTTCATTTAAATGTGCCTAAAAAGTTTTACAACATATCCTTTCATAAGGGATCTTACCTTTTTTTGAAGTACGTTAATTTTTCTTTCTTTTACTTCCAACATGTCTTTCATATCTCGAATCTCTCCAGCCAGGGTTCCTTTCTCTTCTGTGAGGTCTTGAAGTTGTTTTGTTTTTTTATTCAGAAAGGTTTCTTTTTCTTCCAGTCGTAACCGCAAGGCATCAACCTACAGTAAGTCAAACATATTTAGGTTTCAGTGAAGATCATTCACATATTTTATTTATTTTTTCTAATTCCCTTTTACTTTGCCACTTAAGAAATGTTTTATTTATTTTTTATGTACATTTTCCAACTTTATCTCAGACTAAGAGATTCTTGTACTTGTTAAAAGGCAATAAAAAATGAAAGCACTTTTAGCACCAACACATGAATAGAAAAAGTAGAATAGTCAAAACATGAAATAGCATTAAAACAGTGCTAACTTGACAGATGGATAACGGATTAAAAAAAAAAAAAAAAAACCAACATCTTGACTTATTAAATATATATCTCATTGAAAATAGTGTTCTGTAATCTGTATTTAATTTGCCCATTAAAGCCACGAAGTGGGCAATCAGATACTACAGTCACTAGGCAGGTTTGGGCACAGATGAGTAATCTAGAAACAGAATTACTTAAGAAAGACATGGCAAATAGGGAAGTTATAAGGTTCTTCACTTTTCTCCAGTGTACATTACATAAGCCTCTTAACAAACAGGCCTTCCTGCACTTTTCTGTAGTAAGCACAAATCCCTGACAACCAAAATAAGGGATATTCCAAGGATTTTCCTAAGCAGAAATATATTATTAAAGAACCTCACAAAATTGCTCTGCATATCATAACTGCTTTTTTTCCTTTAGAAACACTAAAAAAAAAAAAAAGTAAAAAAAAAAAAAAAAAAAGACAAGTATTCTAACAGCCCTGAAGGTGTACGTAGCCTTCATTTTCTCATTTCTTGCTGTATAAACGCCCAAGCACGCAATTTTATTATTCTCTTAACACAACTCAAACAGTTCTCAAATTATGGCCAAACACTTGCTGGTGGTCTGGAAAAAATCCATAGATCACTTGATACTGGTTACTATTTGTATACTTTTGTTTCTAGAAGCAGCTCTACTGCTAATTGCAATTAAAAGCTTGGGTACTTATAAAAGCATTTTTAAATAAGGAGGAAAAATAGTTGCCTCTCCTCCATTGCAAGAGGGGGATGGGGGCAAGCAGCAGCCACCTTCAAGGACAGCAGAATAAACACTATCATCAGTAAACAGAAAAACTTTTGGTGAAGCAAGGAACAAAGTGGCAAGAAAAAGGAAAGTTTAAATGACAGGGTACCTGTTCAAGGAAATGGAGGAGGGGGGAACTGGCTCTTTAGGGAGTACAGTCAGGAAACAGGAAAGTATGCTCAACGTGTATAGACAGACATGGCCACAGCAGTAGGCATAAGCACATGGACCCAGGTGGAAACATACAAAAAATGTCAAAACAGGGGAAGAAACAAGGAGCTAGACAGGGAAGCAACTTTCTTCATAGTAGATATAACAATCCTACTTCACAGCTTCAAATTCTGAGTACCTTTTTTAGTAACACCTTTCTACATAAGCACTACCTAGAGTAGTTACCACAAGGCAAGTATGATTCCAAATGGAAAAGGTGTTACTCTTCATACTGTGAAGAGGAAAGGAAGCAGTCACTGTCAAGATGTTCACTGATACAGTGAACATTAGAAATTCTAATATATTATTCAGACTATTGGCTCTCAAGAACTTTCAAAAAGGTATTCAAAGTAAGAGATCTTGTCACGGCTTCCTTAAATTAAAATATAATAATGGAATGGAATAAAGCAAAGAGTTAAGTGATCTTTTATGTAGAGCCAGAAAATGAAGTTTTGCAAGTTTTAATGGTGCGGCTTTTTATATAGTAGAGAAGAACAAAACAATTAGGAATCAATACTGCAATAATTCAAGAATATAAAGATACTGACTGTAGAACGTAGGGGGTTCAAAATATGATGTGTGTATTCTTTGCTGACCTTGATAATTAGCAAAATGAAAAATTATACCTTTCATGGAAATGGAAAGAGCAAGTAATATTATTCCTGCAAGAATGTTTTAAAAAGTGTATGGAAGGGTGGGCTAAGTTGAATAGACAAATGAAGAATTGTAAAGGGAAAAAAAAAAAAACAGAAATCAAACTGAATTGGAATGTATCTCTCTAGTTTAAAATATTTATCAATTTGTTTGTCTAACCTAAAATATGCTGGAGGGTGGAGGATGGAACTTAATTCATTAATGCCAAAGAATTACCCATCACATAAATTCTACTCTTGATACCTTTCTAATAAAAAGTATTTTTGTAATAAAATAGTAGACATCTCAATTCATTCAAGCAACAGAATAGGTTTGGCTTTAACCATCAGTACTGCAAGAGTTGTAGCTTATATGCATTGGTTCCTTCAGTGAGCACTTCCACTAAACCATACTTGTTTCCAGATTCTGGTTCAGAAATGCAGTTACAAATGAATCACTGAGCAGCTCACAGGCAACACAGCACAAAACACTGGGTGGGGACATTTTTTTGGGTAAAAACAGATTTCGTCATATATCAAGTTTTATACCGACCAAATGAGAGACTCTTTTTTGTTTTAATGTAAGCTTCATATTATTGAAGGCTAATCTGTAAATTAAATAACACAAGAAAACATAATATACCCACAAAATTTTGTCAGCACTTTGAAACATCATAAGAGATCAACAAAAGCAACCCACTGTCAGTGTTAAGCATTATGGAATCAATTCTGCATTTCTTGTGCAACCTCAAACTCCCAAATTCAAGCCTGGAGTATGGAAATCAAGCAGTTTATGCTCAGTGAAATATTTCAGTTTTCCAGAAGGCTGGTTAACACATTGAAACTTAGAGTCCAGGAGAGGAGTTACTATAAATACTGCTGTAGACCTACATCTACATCTGCCCTTCTGCTCCACCCAGAGAGAGAAAGATGCTACGTAGAACAGAAAGCCCACAGAGTGGCAGCATGGGCACTGAGAACTTTTGCAAGGTTTGCAAGCCATTAGAATAACATTATAATTTCATGCAAAGTAGAGAACTGAGATTTAAAAAGTGCGATCATTTGTCATTACAATGGCAGATTTCTTTGATTAGAGGCTATTTTTCTGATACTATTTTCTTCTGCAGCTCTGAAACCATGAGGTTTCACATTAAGTGGACCCACACAGGCTTGGTTTGGCTGCAAGGTACGCCCCTGAGAAGACAAGCTTTGGACTGAAAATATACGAAGTGGCAATCTAGAATAATTCTCCTTCTACAAGAGAGCTGCAAGAAGTCAGACGTAAGTGTGAAATTTTAGATTCACTAATCCACATTTCAAACATATGAATGTCAGAAAATAAAGAACAAGGGTTTAAAGTTTACATTACCTAGAAATTCATAAAGTTTATTCATAATAAAAAGCTGGATGGAAGTAATTGAAAGGGCATAAATGTTAGGTTAGCATTTTGAAGTTCTGCAGTTGGAATAGTCAGAAAAGGTCTTCTGTATTAAGCATTTTTTTTTCCTAGTTAACCAGAATATTATTACAGGACAAAACAATCAGAAAATCTTATTTATTTTTATTTATATTCTAAGTTTTGTAATACTAAATTTATTCAAAGGAAAAGTCTTCGCAATGCCATTTTAAAACTTGGTTTGGGACAAATTTAGATGATCTATTGGATCTCAAAATGCAAGTTCTTCCTGCTCTTAAAATGGCTCGTTGCTTTTCTGTACACTTGAAAAACTATTTATATTCTACTGGATTTATTTTATTTTTAAGACTTTTTTACAATATTACAGTAATAGGATCTTGCAGTTTGTAAGCAGTGTGCAATGAGATTCAAAGATGACTTTTTAAGTTAGAAAACAAGAAATAGTAGTAGCAGTAAACTTTCAGACCTCTTAATAGACATAAAAGACCTCATCTGAAACTCATTACCACATCTTCTTTATACTTAATCACTTACTTGCTTCGTGTCTGAAAGCAATCCCCTAAGTCAAATCACAAAAATCTCTGTTGGGCCTTTAAACTGCAGCTGAGAAGCTCATCATAACATTGCAGCAGGAGCTCAAAAAGGGGTTCTCTTCAGTCAGGCACTGCAAGTCTCAGTTACCAATTGCCACTAGGCAGAAGCTGAATGCTTGAAGTCAAAGGGAGTTGAACGTGATTAGAGCCACTGATTAACAAAGCACTGATACCATTCTCTAGCGATTGGGATAACACAGGAGCTCACGCGTGAGCTGATAGGGTTCTGGTCCACTTGGCTGAACCAGGCAGTTTCTGAGTCAATAGTCTTTTCTTCTCTACCCATCCAGTCCCATCCTAAGGGCCACGCAGGAGCAGTCAACTCTCACACTTCTTCACAAATTTCTTCCCACACACCCTGTCATCATGGCTGACTAGATTCAACTCGGGAATGGGGATTTTAGGCATTAAAACTTGGGAGCACAAGCAGGGTTGAGAGGATGAGTAGATGGCACTGAAGTACAAGTCTGTGAGTCACAACCTATGTGGGAAAGGGAAGCAGAGCCCTGTCCACTCCAGTTTTTCAGACCCCAATCCTGCCCCTCACACAGCAGTTAATTAAAGAGCACCACATGACTGAACCTTTCTGTGTTTCCTTTCACCAGTAGCCAGCTCATAGCATGACTAATATGTTATTTCTATTCCCTAAACAAAGACGTAAATTCAATCTGGAGGTACAAGAGAAGTTCCATGGTGGTTTTCTTTCACACCAAAAAGAAATACACTCGGAACTCTGCAGCATAGCCGCAATCTCCATCTTTTCCTTTCACTGGTTCAGGCCAGCCACACGAAAACATTTAAGTCAGCACAAAGGTTATGACCTCGACTGTGCCACAGAGCACCAGGCACCTAGTATTTCAGAGTTGTCTGGACTGACTCTAAACGCAGAAACAGATTGTTTTCTTGTTAATGCCATAAATAGATTACCCCACAAGCCTTCATGTAAATAGTTGACACTTTAGATCAATTCTTTCAGCTCCATGGTAACTTTTTAACACTTATTAATGAACACTCATGTGTTCGAGGTGAATTGCATTTTTCCATAAGAAATTGCACGTGGACCTAAGATCGGAATATATTTAGATGTGAGTGATATAACTTCTGCCTAGAA